TGCCTCGCCTTACGTTTCCCAATTTTTTCAAATTTAGAGTTTGGTACAACTTTTGATGGGCAACGTTTTTTTTTTTTTTTTTTTTCGCAAGAATCTCGAGGAGACTTCAGAAGACCGTAAAATTTTTCCGGATAACACGAAATGTCTGCTGTGTTATCAATCTTCTCGTAATAAAGAAAGTAGTTACATTCCTTCTCTCTTTTTCTCTCTCTTTCTCTCGCCGGAGTAGACGGCGAGGAAAACAAGCTACAAAGTGTTCAAGACGAAGGACACGTGATTAATTACGTAACGTCGGACGTTAATTAATTTGCTGACTTGACTGCGAATTATTATTCACGATGCGCCGTTGCAACTTGTGTTCAGCTGCGACACATTTCTGAGTGGCTTACCTGCGCTATTGCTATTAATTAAGTTGAGAAACGTAATTAATTTATGACGAAGCCGAAGTTGTGTGTTTCCGCCGTATCTGCATTGATGAAGTATCTTCTTCGCGCGAGAGAGGAGTAACGTTATTAATAGATTATACCCACCTTTGATCGAGTGGCACAACCGCGAACAGATTTTCCATCATGATGCTATTGAGGTTTCTGGGCGGGATGAATCTTCGGGGCAACTGCGCCCTCGGCGTCGGCGTTGTCTTCGCCTCGCTTTCCAGAGTCGCGTTCGAACGGGCGCGTGTCTCGTTCGAGGTAGAAAAATTGGAAGACTGTTGTGTGATCACGGAGCGAACCGAGGTCGATGACGGCGGGTCGGCGAGAAGCGGATTGGGCGACGAGTCGTCTTGCGGTAGGAAAGGATCGATGTCTCCCGTGTGGATCATCAGAATGGCCGAGTTTTTGGTGTGCATTTGCCACACGACGTTCAGCTCGATCAGAACCCGACTCGTCATCTCGTCCAGCAGCGGCAGACAAAGCACCGTGGCTGGCAAAAGAAAGAATCGAGACTGCGTATACACGCGATACAAAGAAAATATTCACAAAAATAAAAAAGAAATCAAACAGAAAAGATCTCAGACAATTTTTTACAGCGCAATTGGATTGTTTGTTTGTTTGTTTTATTTGCAGTTGTTATTTAAAATTCTTTTTCTTCGATAAATTACGATTGCGCGTCGGAGAGTTTGTGTGTTTCCAAGATTCCTCAATAGAACAAGTTTTAGAGAACATGGTGATTTGTAATTTTGGTTTACTTTTTTTTTTATTGAGTTACAACACTCCGATATAAATAGTAAAATTTGCATTTTTGCGCTTATTCGTTTGGAATCTTTTACTTGTTTCTCGCTTACTTTTGATGTCTATGTATAAATAACTTTCTATATTTCTTATTCGCGATTTTACTTGTGAAATGAACTAGTCAAATACAACTCCACATTATGTGTTAATGAACAAAACTTAATTTACTAGTAAGTTTGTTTTTCCGTGCCTAGGCGAAAATCCTGGCATTAAGGGATTAAATGCTGCAATGGATGCTGCGTGCACTATACGATCACAAAACGTGCGCGTTCGGTTCGATACGCGTATTCATTTCTTTAATTGGATAAAACAAAACAAAGTTTACTTCGAAATCTCTTTCGAAAAAATTACTGTTTTTCCATGTAACGTATTCGAATGAACCAAATCCCGTTCGGTCGATACTCGCGGCGAACCAGCGACGGTAATAAAAATCCTCGAACTACAGAGACAAATTTTTTTGCGACACTCACCATAAAACCGTATTAGCCCCTAGGTATAATATACGATACACTCTTTGCTTCGTGCGCGCGCCTATGTGTACGTGTGTGTGTGTGTGTGAGCGCGTGCGTTTATATACAGAGATGAAAAGAAGCGCGGAGAAAAGGGAGAGAAAACGAGCTCGCGCACACAGAAAAGAAGGGTAAATTGCGGAAAATGATATATCGACTAACGAGCGTGGAATGACCTGTCGAGTGGCAATTAAACGTTATAGTCCTACATCTCTTTTCATAGATACGATAAAAAGTCCGGGATTGTAATTGAAATATCGTATACGGTAAAATACCGCTGGCAAAGCTGCGCGCGCGCGCGCCGAGGGCTTATATTCAATATATAATATTAACTAAAAATACGGGACGCTTCCTCTCTTTGTAAAATGCGATCGTGCTTCTGAATTTTTTATATCACAAACTATACAGGAGTGTGTGTAACGAAATAAATTCTTGACGCAATAAATCTGCACGGTCGAGCTTCTTCACGCGTGACAGGTCATTTTTCGGACCGCGGGGGGGTTTGTGTTCTTTAACTTTCTGCGCGGGGGGTCCAACGCCGAGTCTGACTCACATGTCGTTGCATCAATCTCAACGTCGAGTGTGAACTCGAATTATTAATTAAAATGAATTTGTATCATATTATTGAAAATATGAGAAAAACAATTTGAACCGCAAAGGATTCGAATTTACGAGGGCGACGCGATCTAACCGCGAAACATGCGACTTCCTGCGTCGGCAGGTCGCAGTTTCGTGCTTGCCGCAGCGAAACGCGAAGCGGTCGGCCGTCTATTCACAAGACTGAGAAATTAATTAAAACCAGTTCTCTGATTACACATTCGTATCTCACACTCTGAAATATACAGTCGGTCTCGGACACGTTTCCTGCGGAAAGGGCCGCGACGCGTCGCATCCGATTCATTTGCATTCACGAGCGCGCTACGGGACGCCGTAAATTGTCGCTAACTAAGTCGGCCACTTTCGCGGAGATTCTGAGACGCACAATCGCGAGAGGCTCTCTGATATAAAATTTCAGCAAAGTTTCAATTCACAGCCGCGTAACGATCCTCGAGCGGCTCATAAGCTTTCGCCGTTGAGGGTTTTTTTTCTTTCTTTTTTATCACTCTCTTTCTCTCTCTTTTGGAGAGAGAGAGCTTGCAGACGGCTGTGCAGGTGTGCTTCGTCGCTGTTAAACCTGGTTTACGACCGGGCGAGCGTCTGACACGGTTTTTTATCGCGCTACGAAGAGATTCCAGAAGACGTCGTTAACTTCAGCTCTCTTACAAACGAAACGCCCATTGTGCGAAATATCTATCGGAATTTCTCTGCGCTTTTCGTGCAGCGAGAATTTTGTTTTATTCTTATTTTCGTTCGAAACTCGATATCTCAAGAGGAAAAGAGTGACAGCCGAACTCCGCGAAATTGGATCAAATAGGTGTATCGTTGTCGCGACACAAGTGACAATTAATCAACCGAATGTTGTCAGAGAAAACGGGAACAAACGTGCGCGAAAAGATGTTACGCCGAACAAATATTTATTTTGCGTCTTATTTCTATCATAGGTCTTCAAATTACATTCCGATCGTTTCTCATTGTATTTATTCTATGTGGAACTGATTTGGTCAGTCTTGTTAAATCTTAACAGTCTTCAGATCAAATACAATTACAGAGGTGATAATTTTCTGTAAAAGTTCAGAAACATTCTTACATTTACATTAAAAGCTTTCAAATTAAATTCTGACGGTCTCAATGTGTTTATTCTATCTGGAAGGCTGATTCGGTCAATCTTGTTAAATCTGGTTTTAAATCAATTACAGAGATGGTAACTACAAGAGTTCAGAGAAATTAAATTCTCGATAGATTCATTTGTCGGATCAGATTTCTCTCATCTTTTCTCTTTCCGCGAAAACGTTTTTGAATCCGAAAGCAATGAAGAAACATCTCGCGTAACTGTAATCATGCGTTCGGTCGAAATTGCAGACGAATGTGTTTCGACATTCTCTTAATTCTCCGCACTTAAATCTCGAACCGGAGAGTTGTAAACAGCGCGAACAGAATTCTCCAACTGTCTTGTATCGTTGAGGCAATAAACTTTCGACCGAAGTAACTCAACGTCAGACATTTCGGAACATCGCACACGTAAAATCACAATGACGCAACAAAATGCAATTAAACGGTTAAAGCGTTTCGTAGAATAGTTCCAAGGCGCGGATGACGTCGCTATCAAAATCGCGAGACACACGTATAGAAACTTCGCAAACGTCTTCGATCGCATTTGGAAGCTCAGACGAAGAGACGAAAAGGTTGCGCAACGCGTTTCACTACGCGCTATCTTATTCGAAGAAAAGGATGCGAGTTTGCGCAATTTAATAATTTAATTTTCGAGTTCGATAGTTTCGGTAGTTTACTTCGACGAAGAGATACTTCCGTCATACTGCGCGCGCAGTCCGGGACTGCAAGTGGACTGATAATGCTCGCGAGTTTCTGTATAATGGGATATCCAACTGTGCAGCTTACCTCGACGAGAGACGTTGTGCACGGATTTGAGTATTCTGCGGATTTGCTCGAAAGTGGCGCGATGGGGCAGAATCAGGTGGTGTCGCAGGACAACGCCGATCCGTCGGAATGTGCCAATCACGGCGCGATCCAGGCTGGACCAAGGTTCGCGATCTGCAACGTCAAATCAGAAAAAACGTCAGCAACGAACCATTTAAAATTCAACTCGCGCGCGCGCGTATATTTCAATGAACCCCCCCCCGTGGCGATCAGCTCTCGATTTATTATTATTTTGTTCCTCGCTTTTGATATACTTCCGCGCTTTAATTTCTTACCGTCCTCGATTCGGTGAAAGATAGGATTACATTTATCATGTGTCAAAAGCGAGAAGCCATATGTAATTTTCTTCTCGCAAACCGTTGAAAATAGGTGAGCTTTTTTGCATGCACACCGCACGTTTGACAGAGCTAACATGCACAAAATACACGTTAATTCTCTCTTTCTTGAAGTCGTGAATTAATAAAAGCAGGAAAGTTTAATCAACCGTGTTTCATTTTCCGTGCGGCACAAATATACGCGAGACATATATTTATCATTTAATCTGCATTTTATAATATTTTTTTATGAAAGAGAGAGAGAGGGAAAAAAAACAAACTATCCATATTTTAGGTTGTCGTATTATTTTTTCGCGGAATGTGTTCTCAAATAAATCAAGTAAAAATCTAAACCTACTGGTGAAAATTAATTATATAAATAAAGTACACAATTAAATACAATTAATTCTAGCACTAATAACATAATCAATACATATTAATAAGATGAAGCCAACCAAATTGAAGAAATAAAAAAATAACTAAAAATGTATGTGTGTGTGCGTAATTATAAGAAATTATTTTAAAATGATAAACTTAAATAACCAGTAAATGCCTGTGTAGTTTAAATTAAAAAATAGCAATCTTGCAAGTTACAAATTGCAATTATTAATTATTTAAAAATTCAGTATAATTTATTGTTGCTCTTGCTAGCATTTTTTGTTCGATAACGAGTTTCATTTTGTAGCAATTTTGTGCGATATTTTGAGTTGATCTTGACAGTGAAAGAGATTTACCTGTACCGATAATGGCCGCAGTCTTCCACTGCAAATGCAAGAATATTTCCGCCACGGCGCTAGCCATCGACGGTAATGACGGAGAAAGTCTGATGATCGATGACAAATCCCGCTCCTTCAAATCTCTCTGGAACATAAGTTATCGATATTTGCGATCTTCTCAAATTTTAATGAGGTGACATTTGAGAAGTTATATTTTTAGTCGATTTTTTTAACATAATATCTACTTGAAATTACTCGATGCCATGCGTAGAACGTCGCTTGCGTAGTTTTTTGTAGGAAAAAATATTTACAAATTTTATAAATCAACTGTTTTTAGCTTGCGTATGTATTTTTACTTTGCAGGAAGAGAGCAACGCATAGTTTTGTGTACAGTTTTGCGTTCTATTTGTAGTATGCGGAAAATTTTTATTTATATTCCTCGCAATAAAATATAAAACACGAAATAATCACTGCGAAAATATTCTTTTAATGTTTGCGAGAAAAACAACGATTACACTGTTGTTATGTTGCACTTTGACAAACAAAAAATGTTGGCAAAATAAAAGATTTTTTTGTTTTTAAAGCAAAATATAAAACTGATATGAATGACACGTAAACCTTCAAGTCCGTGTGTAGGAGAAATATATCCGAAAGTGTCTGTCGAACGCGATGACATAACTGTCGCCTTGGGGAAACGTGTGAGATATCTGCCAGTACATAAAGACGAGCTTTCACGGACGACGATTTGTTTCGCTCGAGCGAATTGTGCTTTATTGGTGACAAAGTTCACGGTTGAAAGAATTCGGGTAAAGAGAATTTGGCGAGGAGCTCTGTATTATTGGTCTCACATGTACGCGCTAACACAAGAAAAAATATATTTCGCGTGTGCCACTTGCCGTTTACATAAGCAGAAATTTCCCGTAATTGCGCGCGCACTAATTAGAAAACTGAATATAAACATTTATTCGAACAGGTTTGAAGCTCGGAATTAAAATTGGCTCTTTCAACAAAGTCAATCGCGCGGAAGCGAAGATAGAATTTATAGCATTTCCGCAATTTCTCGTGATAGACAAATAGAATTATTTACACAGATTTATATTCTCAGTATTTATATTCTCGTGATAGATAAATAGAATTATTTACACAGAGATATTTTCATTATATTTCAGCATTTATTATCAAATATCGCCTCACGTCTAACTTCACGACGCAAGTTGCGCGCGCACGCGTGAAAAAAATATGTCATTTCACGAAAAAATGAGAATAGGTACAAGATTTTCATGTTTCGCTAAACCAATAGCTGAACCGATCGATTTCTTTTTAATTTTACTACGTCTTAAAAATTAAGACAAAAATGTTGTTTTAGTTTGCAGACGTCGGATTTTGTTTGTAGAGAACTATCTCGTTCTTTTTCTTTTGGAAAATAAAAGCGCGTCGCGCTTTAAAAAACTTTGGAATTTATCGCGAGATTCTCTTTAATTTGGTGCTTTTTTTTTTTAAGTCCAATTATTTCGCACACGCGAGAATGTGATAATTTTGTTTAATACCGCAAACGACTTGATCACTCGATCAAGATGTGACAGAAACAATTCGAAAAACAATATCTCGCGTATTTTGCATGTAAAAAAACAAATCGTGAAAATGTAGTGTCCGCGGATAAAAAATAGAACGGTTGCGTCAGTGTATGCAATAAAAATAAAAACAAACTACCTTTTTTAACTATATACGATATAAAGCAATTTACATAGACAAACAGCAGTATTTATTTAAAATAAATGCACAAAAAGAAAAAAATTGTTTGGTGAAAAAAAAGTCGAGAATAAAGATACGTTTTAAGGAACGTAATCCTTAATTACTCCGGTACACAAAGTTCTTTTTTGGTCCCGAGTTTTCTTTTCCAAAGAAAGAGTAATAAAACAGCTTCGGTGTTTTGTATTAAATACTTTCACAGGATCTTTTTATTTCCCAAGATATACCCCGGAGAGAGACCGCCGCGTAACTTAATAGCCAATTAAGCGTCGTTCAACAGCTCGAATAACCGTGCGGAAATGTGGAAACCCATTACAAACGGGGCGACAGCACTTACCAATGGACAGGTCCAAGTGAGCAACGGCTTATTCCCAAGGTGCGCGAGCTTAGCGGCCACCTCGCAGATCGAGCTGTCGAGAGTGGCAATCACCGCCTTCGCGTTGCTCTCACCGAGAACATGGATCAGCGCACCGAGGCCATCGGTTTCCGTCTCGCACGTCACTGGGAATTAATTAATCGGACCGTTAGTTTCCTCACGACGAACGAAGACTTTGGAGAATTACCTCTCTTCTTTAATACCCTTTCCCCCTTCTCCGATCTCTCGATTTTCTTTCACTTGACGCGCGCGGGGACTTGCTTCACCGTAATGCGCGAGAGAAAGAGAGTGTCGCCGTGACGTATATTGATTTAACGGCGCAATTTTCAATGAGCTCTTAGCTATCGATCCCGATAAGCTCCGCCAACCCTTCTACATCCAGGATAATGACGGAGAGAGAGAGGCGTAGCGCGTTATGCGCATCGCCTCGCACTTCGCTCGTTACAGTCGATGTTACACTTAACAACATCGAGGCTAATCCGGCTCTCGTCTCTGGCGAGTATATTCGTCATGCATTGTGCGTGACCTATCTCGAGCATGGAAGGTCCACGATGATTGTGTATATACGCGATATAATGCGCGCGTACACGACGCGCAAACAATATCACGAAGATGCTGTAGCTTTCTAAATATACGGGCAGCAACACAACACCTCGTATACACCGCGATAGCGCGAACGAAAGATCGAGGGTTTGCGACGTGAAACCGACCGCGCCATTCTTGAGCTCGCGTATCAATTTTATGTCGCTCGGTATAGCACATATACTCCCCGGTATCGGTTACGAGAAAAGAGAAGCATTTCAATTTTGTTCGCGCGCAACATACGATATGTGGGTGAACGTCATTCTCCCGAGAGAGATGGCGGTTTACCGGACCGGCACTTATACCAAACGCACAGCCAGCCGAGTTTCGATTTGAATACGTAATTGGATTATCGGACATCGCGTGATTCACGCGCGTGTAAATTTAGGACCGCTTGATGTCGTTATACATAACGGGGGAAGCGTGCGAATAGGTTATATTACCAACCTCGCTTCTATATTATGGGTATAAAGGTAACACCGTTATAATCTGTGGAGTAAATGTTGCAGCAAAATTTACTTTAACACGTACCTGATATACATACCGCGTGACTATAATTAATTATTTCGAGAAATTTTTTATGTACATGTATGAAGTTTTTTTTATATACATATAAGTACATTTTATACACGCAGATATATAAATTTTACACATTATATAAATAAATATAAATTATATATGTATTTATATATATTATTTATATATATATATATTATATATAAAATACGTATTTATATGTATATACACACGTATTATATATATCTTATTTCAATAATTAACTTTCAACTACACCAGTCAAATCTTATACAACTACATCCGCGAAGTATTCCAAATTTTGATAAGAGTTTTAACTGAAATGAAATTTAAAAAATTGTTTTTTCTTTTGGTCTGATGTAATTAACGTCGCTTGTGCCACGCGAAAAATATTTGCATAATTTGCATAAAAACATTTACATTATTTGCATAATGTGCGCGGAGAGGTAGTTAAAGGTTAATATAACTTTTTATCCACAACAAAAAAAAATTGGACGAGCTCATAAGAACATAAGGTATTAAGACAGATGCGAGCCAAACCACAAGTTGTGTGTGTTTTTTTTTAATGAATATAAAAACTTTGGTTGGGGTCTTTTTATATTCAACAAAAAACACACGTACAATCTGTGGCTCGCGCGCATCTGTCCTGCTACTTCATTTTATCCACAAGTTTTGCGTACTTTTCTAATATCCGCGGTGTGAATGTTTTGCGAAGCAGTTGTGCTGCGGAGTATAGCGCGAGTAGTGTCGATCGAAATAAGACAGACAGACAGCACGTCTTGTACTCACGGTCGGTCGGCATCACGCTGATCGAAAGATCGTCGTCCAGATCCACTTCGCGCTCCAAACGATCTTGTATCGCGGTGACGTTGATCTCTCCGTCGCATCCCTCGCCTAGAAAGACCACCACGTCTGTGTCGTCGAGTGGTCGTTCGGCGCTCGTTACCTCCGTGGAATAGGTGGACGTGCACGAGAGACGACCGACTACGGTTGAGGGGAAAAGGCACCCGGATAGGATCGCGATCGGGAGCAGCCACCACCAGAACTGGCGAAAACAATTCCCGGCCATGGGCCCCTGGACCCTGCCGAACACGTCGCTACCACCGCGGTACGGGAAAACCGGTGAGACTACCACTTTCCCTGTCCTTTAGTCTCTCCTTCTCTCTGCGAAATATGTACAAGTGAAAAATATTATAAGCAAAGTCACAATTCTCATCCAGTTTCTCTGTGGAAAAACACATCAAAAATAAATTAATATAAAAATGTATAACAAAAAAATAACTTAATGTATAAAAATAAAATATAATCGAAGTAAAACTACTAATAATAATAATAATAACTGATAAACTTAAGTAAATGAAGAGAACGTGTAAAGTATAAGACCACTGTTGTACGAAAATTGAGAATACATTATTGGATATATTTATTTAGTGAAACACTGTACTCTTTACTTTTTTTGATCACTATCAGTCTACACAAACAAAATGATAAAGTATATGATAACGTCTCTGAAAGTAAAAATATATGTTTAACTGTGTGTTATATATACGTACAAAAAGTTTTAGTTTATAATTAAAATTCATTCTCGTCAATGCTACACGTCGAAAACTATGTATAAAAAATTATATAATTAACACCAAAAATTAGTTAAATAAATACATGTAGTCAAAGTTATATAAGTTAAAAAAGTATAAAGTTCACCGAGAATATTGATTGTCTTAGCCGTTAAATACGTTTACTTAAAACGAACGAGAACAAACAACGTACGAGCGGGAGTAGTTACTGCTATCCTCGAAAACACAATGTGTGAAAATGAGAAGGTCGTAATCAGCGGAGGAGATAACATACTCTACTCGAATCTCTTCGTTTGCTTGAGCTTATCGCTTTGAGAACATTATATTCCCGCTACTTTGAATAATAATTGACTTTTAGTTTTAATTAAATCATTAAAATTCACGTAGTTGATGTGATCGATGCTAATTTCGTGTTTGTGCTCACGCTTTCCATTCTCCGAGATCAGATTTGAATTCGCGTAGATGTCGAAGCGAGAGAATCTTCTGTGTTGTGTGGTTGCATGGGAAAATGCGTGGGGGTGTGACTTGAAGGCAGATACCCGAGTCAATGAAATCGGGACACTCTTTGTTCGCCGCGGAAATACGTGATGAAACGCGCGACCGTGTTTTCCTTTCCTTTAATGCCGCAAAGAACAAGAAGCTTCGAGGCGTAATTAGCTTTTTGAAACGCAACGCACACAAGCCGAATCCAGCGGCGAGACGAGATTTTCTACCAAGTCGCGTGATTCATACTATAGTTCATTCTCTTTTTTCTTTCTTTTTCTCTTCCTTTCTCTCTCTCTCTTTCTCTCTTTCTTACTTGTGGAAAGGTCGCGGCCTAGCGACGAGATGAATACTAATGCGAAAAATTGCAAACAAAGTTACAAACTTCTGAAGCTTCGACATGCAACAGGCAATCGGTGTAGTTCCGAACGAAAAAATGTTATTTCCGCAATATACAAATCTTAAAATATATTTGCTATAAAAAAATTACAAATGCAAAATCTTTATTCTTTGTAATTTAAAAGAAAACTTAAAAAAACTCGTGTCATATTTCTCAGAGAGGTGGATTATATAGTCATGTATAGAGGGGATGTATAACTCGTAAAACAATCCTAAACTAAAATACTTTTTTTTTTCTAATAACATCTCCCAGTATTTACTTATGTATCAACATTAAAATTAGACACATCAACATTATGTATTATTAATGAACAATAGGCAAGAGAGAGTGAGAGAGAGTGACAAAAATGCGCGAGAGTGTTAAGATAAGTTCGCTGGACAAAAGTGTAGCATGTCCGTGCAGACACAAGCGCTGTATTATGAGGCACATACCCCACACGTTAAAACTTCCGTATATTCCAAACTGAGATGGGATATACAAGACAGCTAACTAAATAAAAAATATAAAAAGTACGTACTTCATCTTTTACTACTCTTCTACACTCACACATCGCAAAATACCCGCTAAACTTTTTTACCAACCTTGTAGTAATTATTTTACATATCTGTGATATAGTTGCGCTACTTATCTATTTCTTTCTCTCTTTCTCTCATTTTCTCTCTCTCGTTGAATTAACTAAACTGACAATGAGTTTGTTAATAACAACAATAAAACGCTGAAATCATAAAACACTGAAAAAAAATCATGTGACTAAAGTCACGTGCAGAGAAAAAAGTGAAAAAAAGAATATTATATATATTACATATAATATTCTATATCTATATAACACACACACACACACACACACACACACACACACACATATATATATATCGTAATCACGTAACCAAAGTCAGTGATCCCGCCAAGGTCGCGCGCCCGCGGTCAGTAATCCCCTCACCAAGGCCGCGCGGCCGAGGTCAGTGACCCCGCCAAGGCCGCTCGACCGAGGTCAATGACCCCGCCAAGGCCGCGCGGCCGAAGTCAGTGACTCCGCCAAAGTCGCGCGGCGGAGGTCAGTGACATTACTGTAGTATATATATAATACATATAATACAATATAAAGTATAATATTATAAATATATAATAAATTTATGTATAATATGTATTATTTAATGTTATATATAATATAAATTACAGTCACGTTATTTTCACGTGTTGTTTTTCTACTCTTTCTTGTCACGTGACTTTAGTTACGTTTTTAATTTTCTCTACATATACGACGAACTGTCTCAAAATCGCTTTTCATTATTTACTCTCTCGATCTTACCGATTCGATTCGACTCGATCAACCAACCAACCAATTGGCAACGCGGAAAAAAGGCAACAATAGATGCGATACATTCGGCTCCAAAACGCGCACCTCGCGAAACATATGGATTTTTTTATGTAGATTTATTACATGCTTACATGATAATGTAGTGAGTAAACAAATGTAAAGCTACGTATAATATATATGTTTTTTTCAGGTTTTTATCTTCACACGGAGAACAATTTTAGTTAAAATAGCAAGAAGATTAGTTATCATACACGACCAAGACAATTAAATTTGTTGTTCGCAAAACATTTTGTTAGTGATACAAAAAATTCAGTAGTAGTTTTGTAAATTTTTCTTTAAGCTAGCCATGGAATAACAAAATTTTTTTTACCGTGCAGTTACGTTTGTTTATTGTTTTTCAATCATTTTTAACTATTAGGAGAGAGCAATCAAAAAAAAAAAAATCAAATTTTCTCCTCGTCTCCTATTCACTCTTCTATCAATCTGTCGGCTTTAATCAAACCTTTTTCGAAACGCGCGCGCGAAGAACAACAACAGAGAGACGCGCGCTCTCTCCGACGAAAAACACGCGTTATCGCGTTACACAAAAAACTTCAAAAAAACTTCATACTAACTGCATACAGTTTTTTTCACAGCGCGTTGCTGCGCGCGATCAAAACTACGTAGCACGCGGTTTTTTGTCTATTTTATAGTGTTACTGTATTAACAAAAACTATTCTAACGCTATTTGCACACACAGACGAGTCGTTCTTTGACGACAGATAATCGGATATCGCCTGCGCTCTTTTAGAAGCGAATAGAGGCATGAACGTGTGTGAACTTATGATGTTTATCAGATTAGTTTCCGGGGGTTCGACGCGAGGTTATTTGATCGCCGCCGGTGGGTCTCGATTTCGCATGAGATTATCGCAAATGATGAATTGACGCTCTATATATATGTAGTATCTCAACGTATAAATGTCAATGCGCTTTGCGAAAGCAGATTCGCTCGCGATTCGACGCTCACGTTTCCCAACGCAAACGCTGTTATTACTGTGCAAAAGTGAGTTCGCCCATATTTCTCTCTTGCTTCCCCGGATTTTCAGGAAAAAGACTCGAAGGGGTAAAAGAATCGCGTTTCATCGATTGAAAACATTCCTGAAATAGCTCGCCCTTCCGCTGCTGCTTTCAGTCATACACTCAAAGAGCACGCTGCTGTGCGGGACACACGCAAAGAGCTTTACAATTTGAATAAATTAAAAACATAAACGAAAAAAAAGGAATTAAATGAAGAAATAAAATGTTCTACGTCGGTTTTTCCTCTCTTTCTCTCCGCAAATGTCAGTAATGAATATTTCATATTGCAATATGATAATTGCTTTGATAATTGCTATGCCGGATTGAAGAAAAAGAAAGAGCGAGAGAGAGACAGAGAGAGAGAGAGAGAAGAAAAGCTCTTCATATATTTTATCTATCACAGACGGATTATTAAAGTCAGTTCTCTCGGGGCCGGATATCGATGGGGAATTCACGAGGCGACGGGGAAACGCGTGACAACGGAAATAAGTAAGATATAGATTTTTCCGATAAGAGAGAGAAGTGTCATTCTCTCTCGACTGTGACTTGTTTCTTTAGAGAGACACAAGCATCCTTAAGACTTCTCTCTTTCTCTCTCCCTCTCTCATATGCAAGTCTCATTTTCTGACACGACTGAATCGAGAATTTTATCTCGAGCTACAAGAGAGATTCAACGCGTAGCCTCTGATTCCGCGCGACGAGTTAAATTACGTCTGTTTAAAGATACTTATGAATATCTTAATTTTCGAGCCGCTTGTGAGGTTTCTTTCGATTACTTTACGAATAATTCAATTTTAAAATAACAAAGTGAAGAGCCAATACGAGCCGATATACAAAATGTTCGTGTATGAAGATATGATTTTATTACAAAGTATAATCACTTCGATTTTTGGATTGGATTTTTCTTCAGTAAATAACCGAGTGTAAAAACATTTCAAATTGATTGCATTGATCATCAAAATTTAAGATTCACGATAAACACTCGGCAATAAAAAAAATGGATCTTATTCAAAATAGATGATAAGTTGCACACATCAACACACAATAGACAAAAACAGAGTTAGTTATCTAAGTAGTGATCAATTAAAAATAAATAAATTATAAAAGAAAACAATAAATAAATAAATTAAACATAAAATCTATTATATAGAAAAAAAATAATTGAACTCAATTGTACACGTAATCTTCTCGTGTTTCTCGCGAGAACACAATTGAAATACATAGTAACGCGCGCATACTTCGCTAAAACGCTTCGCGTTTCATGTTGTCTAAGCGCAAAGACGAGACTTTCTAACGCAATTGTTGCAGACGTGTCGGACGTTAGTCTCAATTTGCGCGGACATCGACGCGATCGACTGCGAGCTTGTTATCGACGAGTAAAATTGTTCGTGATGTAATTACTCGGGGAACACGTAATGCTCCGAGTTATCAGTCGTCCAAGCACTCCGGCATTGTGATTGGAGAAAATTGCCGATGCTTCGGACACGCGTTCGCCTCTCTCTCTCTCTCTTTTCATCCCTTGTTAGCAGCTGATATAAGTGCCAATGCCGGTAACGTGCAAATTAACCGGTGGAAATTCGCTCTAACGCCCGCAAGGCCGTTTCCAGTGGATGATTTTCGTGTTTACGAAAGCTCGAACAACTTTCGTAAGTTGTTCTACCGAAGAACGAGCTCAATCGGTCCCCGATGGATACTCGTAACAATTTTCGTCGAAAGAGCTCGCGCGGAAAAAATATGAGATAATCGTGATTCGACATTTCAAATCAAAAACGTGCGTGACGTCGACAGAAAAGAATTTAAAAAATAAAAAGAAAAATCGAAAAACAGTGTAGAAGAAATGTCAAACGAGTTTTGAATAAAAATAGCGCGCGATTCTTTGAAATTTTATGGTCAAAACAACACGCTTTGAATATTTTATGCTAACATAATACGAGATAAAAAATGCGATTTTAAAAGAAATCATAAATAATTAAAATGCACCGGTTTTTGTCAGCTACTTAAATTTTATAAAACAGATCACGGTATTATAAAAAAATTATAAAGTGAAGTAGTCTAATTTTTTCAATATCGCGCGGTTGCTACACACACACACACACACACATCTTTCTGAGCTTTATGGAATTCAATATATTATTCATTAATTTATAATGCAATAATATTACACGGGGGATCGTATTCATCATCATATATGTAAGCGACAAAATCGATTTTCCAATTACGAAACAAAAGTTTGTTTGTTAAGTTGTAATGGAAGATTCTTAATATTGTATTAGCTAAAGGCTACGCTCGCGATCGGAATGTTCCATTATTGTTTCGTTCTCTGTTACTTTATACCTTTTCCGTTTTGCTCAATATTCGCTTGTCAGTGAAATTAAATTACGTGTCTATGTGACCTAATTGTGTTATGCGAACACTTCATCTGAAATTTAACGCAGTCACTTCTTATTGATCGCATTCGATTCAATAGACCAAATATAAGCTTTCTCAATCTAATTCCAATATAATGTAAATTACTCAGAAGTATCACTATTTGAAAATCGCTGTGTGTCTTATTCGTTTCAGTAATTTCGATCGTTGTTGTGCGAACCGATAAAGTTCGCCCGAAGCAACGATTGTACTCATTCAATCGTCATTTGAATCCCGTCAAACGCAAAATTACGAAAGTCGGCGAGAGATGTTGAGACACGTCGAATTCCGGCCCAAATCACGTCAAATGCGGAGAAAGAATGAAATCAACAGGTGACGAATCCGGCCAGGATCATGTAGCTCGAGGTAAATTAGCGAGTGTAAGAACTGTAGAGTCGATAAAGCTGTCGTGAGCTGTCTGACATTTGAAAATAAATCATTGCGTCACAATTTATTTAATGTAATCCGTAATTTTCTCGTTTCGAGCTTCGTGTAACCAATTTGCTCGTAAAAGAGACAGAAACGACAAGCGCGAGAGGTAACGAACGTCTTAGAAAATAAAAACGCAACATAAAAAATTTATCTGCTTTCTCGTTACCGTTCTTCTTTATCGCGTAATTTTTTTTCCATCTCTCGTTTCTGCTATGTTATTATGTTTATTTAATTCGTAATTTTTAACTCCACAGGATCTTGCCTTGTCTTTTTTTTTGTGCGTTATTTCTTTACCCAGAAAAGAATCAGAATATTACTACTAAATGTTGTCAAAGAACAAACAAAGTTTGCCGATTCCAGTGGCGTCGTACATTGCGAATTGCAAAATCAGGTCAAGTATTGTACAGTTTCATGTAACTGGCTCTTATTGATACCTACGTTGCTAAAACAATAATGGCCAATAGCTATATCAATACTATGTATATATACATATATATGCGCATTGTATATTTTGGTCCAAAGGAAACTATAATTGTTTTAACGAGCAAATATATCGGGTGTGTCTATTGGTTTGAGCGGCGGTTCGTTAACAATCGAACAAATCCGAGAGAATTACGTTGTTCGTATATGTAAAGCTTTCACACATTGACATAGTCGTAACATAAGACACAGAATAGCCAATTCACATTAAGAATCACATTAAGAATTTTGAAATTGTAAGGTTGCCATTTTCGAATTTAAACGATTGCAATTGGTCACACAATTCTTACGGTATGTCTTATGTTACATCTACGGTGGTTTATGTGCGATGATTTTTACGACCCATTAAGATATTTATGACTCATTGGGATATTTATCGCGCGACAGTACCATTCAAATTCTAATCCTACGCTATAGAAAAGTACTCTCTCAAAACTCGACTTACATGTCGTACAAACTATTTCAGACTCTATTTTATCAGCACTTTATTAGCGTAGAAATAAATAAGAAATACCTAATTTTTATTATGCTCAAAAAATTCATAAACAATTTATTTCCTTTCGCCGATGCGATAAATTTTTAGTAGTGATTGTCCGCACATCAACACATGAACAAACTTACTTATTCGGATAGACGCAACTAATTCCATATTGAGCTGAACGGCAATGTGGCAACGTCGCGTGCGTCTAATCAAATTTCTTTGTTTTGCTCAGCTGTCAGAGAAAATTGATAAAATGACTCTTCAATTTCAAGATACAAAGGTCAATTCAATAAAAGAAACAGTACAAAAAAAATGTTTAAATGCAATTTCGCATATGACGGAGGCGAGACAATCACACACAAAAAGTGATCAGCGTCAAGATCCAAGTATGTTGTGCGAAGGACAACGTTGTTGTCTCAGAAAATACTCTATATATATATATTCTCGGTTATAAAAGTAACAAAAGCGCACGTGTTTTCGGATAAATTTCATATCGCAAGTGTAAAAGTAAGTCACGTACCTGCAAAGCTACTACGCACGTCGGCGCCGAAGTTCTGAATTCTTCTTCGGATCTTCTGAATTTGCTTTTCTTCTCTACATGATGACGGCGGTTGGTTTTACACGTCTTGTATCTTCCTGAATGAAATGTTTCTTCGCGCTGAACGACTAAACTGGCTTACTGTCAAAATGATTATCGCGCGCGACCCGCTTTCATGCTTCCACATTTTGTCACGTCGCAAGAAAGATCTCGCATCATACCACGGCTTTTTAGTCCCCAATTTAAAGTCGCGTTAGCGCGCCTCGCGCGCGCACGCGAAGATCCCGAAACATTGGCCTGATTTATGGCAGCAACAGTTGCGCCGATATTCGCACGCGTGTGACGTTCGCGAGTTTTTGCGAGTAACTAGCGGTAGACTCTCGCCGCGGCAATATTGGAATAACCTCGGGACTGTTTTTTTTTCTATAGCGTTCGCGTTCAAGTTCAATTAGGAAAAAAACCAACATCCAACGGAGGCCAATATAAAGCCAGAACAGATAGCAGTATTCAAATGTGTTCTCGAGTTCTTAATTTGGAATTTACAATTCAATGATCATCACAGTGGAAATCTTTTACGACTGTGCAATCATCTTTTACTTTGTCGAACCACGAATTTACAATAGAGAGAAAATTCACGATTCTCTTATATAATCTCGCAAACTCAATCTTAACTTGAATATTTTCATCCTTAGCAACGTTTCTCTTCTGCGATCTGTTCGCAATTCAAGTTGACGCACCAGTCGACTATCAAGTTTTATGTCTCGGAACAACAAGCATTTGCACGTGCTCGTGTATCGGTCTTATAAAATCTTCCGATATCTCCTTCTGTCTGTCGTAGAGAAACTCCTAGAAACACAACGTCTGTCTACATAATGTCCGGATTATCCGCGTTATATCGCACACCCGTCTCAGGTTTCCAACGATGCCGATAACAGAGCGAGAGACGCACGAAGAAAATCCGATCTCAACTCCGCCGGACACACAATCAGAGAGAGAGAGACAATAATACACGCTCGCTTCTCTCCAAACTGGCGTCTAACACGAGAAAGATATCGAGCGCGCTATTTCCGACCGCATCCGTCCGTGATTTCAGATATCGGTTCTGGACGGCCGATTCGACCTTGACTCTGATAGCGTTACGACGAGTGCCCTATACATATGCATAGGATCGGGCGTCCGTTTTTCCCGGAAGCGTTCCCCATCTATCTGCCGGATATATCGATTGCGCGCCGGCGGGACGGGGTGCTGAAACGTACAGCACCGAATCGAGGTCGTTGTTTTTCAGGGGGGTGTTCTCACGTAGGAGGATGAACGTCGCCGTTTTGCTTTCAAAAGAACACCGGGAGAAGGGACGCTCCTGGTCAGTTCGATCGACCGAAAACTTTACTCGTCCCAATTCGGAAGTCCGTATGTTCCCGTTCGTCCGGTCTCATCTCGCCGATATAGACACTCCGATCGCAACATCCGGTCGGATAACGTGCATCGAATTATCCTTCAAGTTGTATCCCTGCCGCAAATTTGAAATGCGATTTGGCACGTGCTGGCGCACCTGAGCTCGCGCACGGGTTCACCGGTGTTATCTGAACGCAGACGAGGCGATTACGATGCGCGGGAGCGATGAGCGGTAGCGGTTGCACAGGTAACGCACGGCGTATTATGATCTGTAACAGATAATGAAGACCGGTAATTACACGCTGTCGATGATTTCGGTCTGATCCTGTTCCCGCAGAATAGCACGCGATATACAGAAAGCAATAAACGCGCTTCAATCAACGGCCGAAATAACGCTCGGAGGGATGTGTCTGATATATTTTCTTACAAATGAATTTAGACACATAAATTCAGAAGAAAATTGTCGTGTGTTCGTAGCATCGTGATCACCTCCATTTACACGCTGTATAATAATAATATTGTGTTAATTTCTTGTCGAACTCTTTCGAAATGTTACGTGATTGATTACAATAAACTTATTCATCCAACGCGGATTATCGTCCGGACGTAACAAGGATGCGAATTAAAACGTAATAAATGAGAAATTACAAGTAGAAATAAAATGAATGTTTATTGAGAACAAAATCGAAGTTAATAGTGTCGAGTTCCATCAAGATAATGTACGTAGCGGATGATAAATTCACATACTTGTATCGGAGTTCTTGACCTAATAATATGTTCACTTGACCCGTAAAAACAAATCCTCGCCGGGAACGCGTATTAAATGTGTTACGGAAAGTTACACGTAAATTTGCAGAAGCCATGAATAAAGATTGATACGGTGTGCACGTGCAAAGCGTCATGTAACTACAACAGCTAATAAAAGCCGTTGCGGTTACGAACGACGATTAATCCTGGTTTAATCCTATCGAGTCCGGAACTCGTTACATAACGGATTAGAAGAATGAATTAATTACATCGCTCTCGGACATTGTTTTGAAAGGACATAGTTTATTAAACTACGCATGTATATCTCAGGTATATTGTTTTTTTTTTTTTTTTATTAATTATTATTGTCTAAATTGCTGTTAAATGTAAAAAGCAATTATAAAACTGATGAAAGATTGATATTTATACGCCGAATAAAAATATTATTCTTAATGTCCTTTCTTTCTCTTTCTCTTATTTAATGGGGGTTACATGCAATTCATTGCGACATGTATTTTGCCGACAGTGTTTTCGCCGACACGCATTTTACCAACATAAACATTTCATCAACAGTGTTTTTTGTCGACAATGTTTCTATTCGCAACATCGACTTTCACCAACGTTATATTTTTATCAATTTAACAACGAGAATGTAAGTTTATTTTTTTCAATAAGATTTGTTTTTCTTTTATCTAATATTCTTACAAATTCTTTCTGTATCAAAATTAACAGGCTGTAGAAACTAACTAATAATAAGAAAAAATTATCGTATATTCAGAATTTATTTTTTTATTTTTATTCAGTCGAATCACTTATTCAGTCGAATAAGTGATTCGAGCCGACTCATGGATCGAAACGTCTGATTTGTTTGTTTCAATAAAACTACATTTTTATACACTACCTATTGTTGAAGTTTTCACGAGCTGTTTTACTTATTAATATAAGAAATCACCGTCAAATACATTATCAGGTGTAGAAGTAAATAATTATAAACGTAATTTATTTATAAACTGTTATATATATATATTTTATTACATAGTTTATTAATACAAAAGCATGCCTAATGTTTGTATAAATAAAATATGTAAAATTTTCACGGTAATTAACTGTCGACGACTTTCATGTAATTCCATTCAATATGTGCTGATCTTGTATCAAATACAAATTAAGTAAGATTGTGTATTGGTAACCATCTATTAACATTGTAAAAGCAATACTGCGCGCTTTTTTCCATGAAAGTTTATTTTAACACGCGATTTCTCAGAGAAATGCAATAATTAAAAAACCTTCCGATCATTTCAATGTCACGCGAATATAGGAATGTAAATTCGCTCGAGAGATATGCCAACGTAATCAACGCGTTCTTTAATTCATTCTTCTTCATCCGATAAACTTATATGCATAATCGATTATTATATTTAATGAGATACGCGTTACGCGCGCAGAAAAAGTTCGATCTCGCTGCGTTACGCACGAAGCGAAGAAGTATACGAGATCGAAAATTTGCAGATGGAATCGATTATACGAGCGGCGATTTGCCGCGTAAATGAGTAAACTTTTTCGATTACACGTAACGTGCACCCGTCAAAATCTCGCGCAGAGCGGTCGAGTTGTTTTTACGTTATTTAAAATATTTACACGCGAATGCACACACAATATTGTATTTTTCGTAATAAATGTACAAAATGGTTTGTTTTCTCTTTCGGAATAATTTCAAATAAATCTGCAAGAACGAGTCGCAAGTTGGAATATCACGCGACTTTTTTTTTTTAATTCGGACGCGAATATACGTGTCGTCATTATAAACTTGAAAAATAGCAGCGCAAGATCTCGAGATCTGCGCGCGCACAGATTATTCACGAGAATTGTGCAAGAAGATGCGTCAGCAGTTCACCGCGTTTTGCAATACGTCCATAGAAAGTTTTTTGAAGAAACGTTTTACTTCTTGAGCGAAATCTTATTAGTTACTTAGCCGGTGTGAAATATAAATTGCGCGAGAAGCGGCTGTGCATATGAATAGTCCGCGTTTAATCCATCATCGAACTTAACATAAATCACATTAGGATGGAGAAAGACTCTGTGCGTAGTCAACTTAATCCATCACTTAACCCTGTAGTCCGTTAACTCGCTCAAAGATTAAGTGGATCGCTTAATCCTCTAGTCAGTTTCTATTTGAGAAGAAACTGCGTGATGTTATCCCGGGGTAGACCTTAGGGTATTAAGTAATTTCGGTTGAATAATATTCAGTACATACGGAGAGAATAAATCTTTTGTTGTTTTATTCTTATTGTGTTATTAATGTTTGTTAAATCTCGTTACGCGATATTTTTGTTTTCCTTGTCTCGCGAGAAGAATTAAATTAGATCACATTTTACTCTGAGAAAACTACGTAAATTATTATACAAAACAGACACACACTAAGAATATTACCTGTGTGTTAATATTTATCAATATACTGTAATATTTATTATCAATGATTTATCAATATGATTTTATTGCACGTAATTATATATTGCAGTGTGTATTTTTGACAATTATGTTTTGTGATAAATATTTAAATTTATAACAAAATTGAATTCACACATAAAATTTAGATAATATTTACCATTTCACATTAATATTTTAGTTAATATTTTTTAGCAAATGTGTATATATGTGTGTGTATACAATAATATTTATTTGAGAAAACAAACACAAGAAAGTTTTTCTGAGCGCGAAAAAATACCGATAGTCAACGGAATTAGGACGACGCGTGCGTATATCGAGCGAGATAATGAAAATTAGTCAATCACGTGCGTTTGCGGAGATGATCCCTCAATTGCGCTGTACACAAGGCGACAAGGGCAAATTTACCCCGTCGAGGTTTCCTATCCAATTTTCGCTACCGATTGCATCCCAACGGTAGTCACAACGTGTTAACTTGTCGGGTCGAGGTGTACGTGTTCCACTTAGAACAACGGCGCAGCTTTAAATCTGACAGTAAAAAGATTCTGTTTATCTCGCAACGTTTCTTGCATAGCGCGCTGCCATTTGTATCTGTCCGCGTCGACGCAAAAATATTGTCTATTGTCTATTGGTCGAAGCAGAAGAGGGATTTCCTATCATATTCCGCGAGCGTCGCGACGTCGCCGACGACGTAACAAACGTTTAACACACGCGCTGAAGAAACGCACTTAGATCACCATATATATCGTCATAGCAAAATAAACAGTCACTCACAATCGTTGTTACACGGCGCAAGTACATGTACATAAAATGTCTTGAGAAAATTGCATTATTTGATTTTTATTTTTTTTAACAATTTTATTGCCTCTTTCAATTTTATGAATGAATTGCGGACACATAAATGTATGACGTTTATATTACACGTACACAGAAACGCAAGCTACATTTCGCGCGACCATTTCGCGACATGAAAAATTCAACTGCCTTTAACTAGTTAAAATTTAATATTTAAAGCAATATTAGCATTTAAATTAATGTTTACCCCGATACGCGTTTTATATGTAATACCGCAGACTTTTTGCAACGACGACTCCGTATGTCCGAGAAATGTCATTTATTTCCCTTTAATGTCACTCGGCTTCCCACGTCGCAAACGAGAAACTTCGTGCATCGCCGTGGAAAGAGCGTGATATCGATCCCTCGGCGCCGAAACGAGCGAGAATTTAGCGAGACTTTGTTAAAACAACCGAGGAACCAATGTCCTGGAAGACCCATTTTGCAAAGAACACAAGATCTTTTCTCTTCCATGCTCACTTTGGCATAATCCTCTTTTAATTGCCGCCCATCCCGCCCAATCTTTGTGAAGTTAGCACCGATCGCCTCGTCTGTTCTTTTCGAAATCAACGACGAATTTGCGCGTCACACGGAGACGCTCGATGCAAACGTTTACGCGCGAGTCTCGAACAAAACAAGAAACGTCAGCACCCAGGAAAGAACAGCTGTGTGACTTAACGTCGCGCGTCGTCGCGAAGAGACAAGGAAGAGTCCGCGATTATACGGCGTTATAAAAAGTAAAAGCTCATCTTTTTGAATAGCGCGATTTCGCGAGAGAGATACGTAATAATAAAATCTCTGGTGCAAAATTAAATCAAGTTAAATTATTACATAACAAATAAAGCGCTGTTTTATTTCTTATTTTATATGCGCAGCTGTTTCAATTAAAAATAATTCGTTTATCAAATAATTCGCACCGGTTGGACGATAATTATCGGACGCTCGTTTTAATGCGCGTATGCAAAATCATACAAACGTTGATAATAAAGTTATCCGTATGTAATATATACATAAATAAATTTATAAATATATATGTATGTATAGAGACGCGAGATTGTTTCCGGGATATTAAATTTCCAAAATGTAATATATTGCGCGGCGCGTATCCACAAAAGGACCGTGTTGTAAAATCGCCAACAACAACACGGTAGTGCGGTGACTGGATGATTATTGATTTCGTTGCACGGTGTTATTGTGACCAGTTATTCAACCAGTGGTGTGTAGTCAATCACTTTATATAATG